CTCAACTGCTCATAAAGTTACTCCTGCACCGGTCAACATATCTGCGAGAACTCCAATTATTGAAGAAGTTGAAACCCCCATAGTTAACCCCTTTGCTGCTACTGATGTTCGAGGGAAAGGGATCCAAGAAGAGCCCGTCAGGACGAGGGCTCAGTCGTTGATCATCCCTGAAACCTCTCAAAAAGAAATGGAGGAAATTTTGAAAATAATCAAGAAAAGAGATTATGATGTTGTGGAACAACTAGGGCAACCCCCCTCAAAGATCTCTATGTTGGCCCTGCTGCTTTGTTCAGAAGTGTTGTACCCCAAAATTTGCCCTCCCATATTCTTCAAGGTTTATCAAGAATCATCTTCAAATGGTTCAAGATTTCTCAAGGGTTGCACAGTCCAACTGCCTCCTAAGCCAGTTAAAATTAAGGTTTTGGTTCTTGCAAGGAATTTGAGGTTTTAAATGGCTCAATCAAGTCTCATAGGCCTATATATATTGTCAAGCATCTACATGTCAAGTTTCAAGACTCACAATGCCAAATTCCACAGTCAAAAGTCCTATTTGATTCACAATCAACTGTAGGGGCAAAATGGTCATTTTACAGTCAAAAGTAAAAAAATTTGGTCAACATCTTATTTTGAGTCCCCAATCATCATTTGATCAAGTCTTGATCATGATTCCTCAAGCATGGCTCCAAAACCATCAAAGATGCAAAAGTTACTATTTTTGGACAGCAGAAAAGTCAACTGTAACTTGACCAGGGCATAACTTTTTCATGGTTCATCGTAAAAATCCCATCCAATGCTCATTTTTAAGGGGATGACATTTCCTACAACTCATCTTCACATTCCAAGTCCAAGAAATGCTCTCACAAAAAGTTATCAATTTCTACATTATAGGTCAATTTCAAAAGTCAACAAAAAGGCACTTTAAGTCAAAGACCATAATTTGAGATTGGTAAATCCATATGATATGGGACCAAAGGCATTGGTTAGAGGACTTCAATACCTTTCCAAAATGTCCAAGAACATGTTCATATGATCAAAATTGAGCAAGATATGCATTGGAGAAGTTGGGAAATTTTTGTGAATTTGCAAAAGTCAACTTTGCTCAAAACACATCATTTTTGCTAATGGGCCTCAAATTTATTCTTGAAACTTTGTCCAAAGCCTATGCACGACCCATTGAGATTAAATTGAATTATTTTCTTATTTTTTATTAATTAATTGAATTTTTAATCAATATTAATTCATTTAATTGTAGGAAAATATCAAGATATGATTTCTCAATCTTTTTGTGAAGCAAAAGTGGTCAACATGTGCTGGAGATTTCGTGTACACATTAAGGGGACAAAAATCTCCCAATTTGGCAAGGTTTTTCAATCAAAAAGATGCAAAAAGATTTGATTGAAAATCAAATATGCAAACCATAATTCCATGGATTCTTGGCCAAGATTGTAACCTAAATCCATTCTACTATATATGCATAACCTAAACCTAATGCCTCACACGTGAAAACTCTGCAAGAAAGCCATATGCATATTGAAAAAAAGTCAAGAAAACTCAAAACTGTTTCCTCACTCCCATGCCCTTTCAAAGCAATTTAAGGATTCTAATACATTGCTAGCATTCCCAGAAACGTATTGGAATCAAAATCAAGGGCTAACACTCAAAGAATACGCAAGAACAGTGATACAGTTTGCTTAACTTTTTCAGAATCGAAACTCACATTTTACGCATTATTAACATGTTCTAATCATTGTTTTGCATTGCTTGAACCTTTATGAAGCCATTGGTATTAATTAATTGGATTATAATGCACGGAATTATGAATTGCCATTAATGATTTTTAGGGTTTTTGAGTTCTTGAATTAGGGCTTTACTGTACAGGAAAAATCAGACCTTGAGACACCCATGGTTGGATTCGTGGAGACAAGACGAATTGAACCCAACCATCGCGCCATATCTATATAGAGCGTAGCTCTATTCGCTATTTTTGGTTGTCACACTTTGTGGGGGTTAAAAAACCCCGCTATCTCTTTACTTTTTTACAGGTTCAGCGAAGGGGATGAAGACGTGGTGTATCCTGGTTGGTCCATTCAAAAGATAACGCGCGTTTTTTTTTGTTTCCAGCATAAGGATTAGTTTTGATATATTATTTTTATTGATTATCATAATATCAACGCGTGCAGGTTGGCTCAGTGGTTAGTGTGCTGTCTGGCAACCATTGGGACCTGGGTTCGATTCCCAGGTCCACCCAATATTTGTTTCTATTTTTCATAACATGCTCCTGTGCAGGCTATCCAAAACGTCCCACCATGCACTCCTACATCCCAGACGCCATGTGGCCATGATCATAAATCCAAAGGCCAAAAGGTGGTGAACACCATGTTCTCAGGTCAAAGCCAGCATGGACCATTCCAGAAAGTCAACAAGGCTTGATGTTCATGGGCCAGGAATTTCTAAACAAACCTCCAAAAGGGCCCATCACCCCCTGGTTCTTTCTTAATTTTCTTTTTAATTTCTTTCACTAAATATTATTATTAATTATTAATATTATTATTATTTAATTAACTTAATTAATTTTCATAATAAATTCAGACCATAAAAATATAAATATTATTTATTTTTATTATTTATTATTTTCACCTTTAATTATTATTTTGTAAATAAATGTAAATTAATTAATTTAGTCTTTTTATTAATTAGGATAACTTTGACTTTTTTTCACAAATAAAACAAATTTAGAATTAGGGTTTTCTTGACAACTTTTAATTTCTTTTATTTTTATTTTATTTTATTAAAAACATAAAAACATAAAAAATACTTTTTTTCTTTTAATTAATTAATTAATTAGTAAATTAGGTTTAATTTTAATTAATTGCAAAAAAAGGACAAAATTTCATTCTTTTCTCAAAAAGGGTTAAAACCCTAAGGACGGCCCGATTCAATTCTTTCGCGCGCATATTTATTTTTAATTCATTATTTTGATCATTATTTATGTAACTGCTCCGAGAATGTAATAGATAATTAGGGTTTTTATCGCTTTCTTTTACTTTCCGCATTTATTTCCAAAGGGTTATGTTTTTGGCGATGTATATACCCGCGCCTTGTAATAGCGTAGATTTACCTTCCGCAATTTATTTCCCGCAAATTATTAACTGTTAATTATGCATGACAAGACTTGTATGAAAAATAAAATCAATCCGTAGCTCACAATGATACATGCAAAGACAATTTAACATGAAACCTGACACACGTGCACATGCCACTCCTAGGGTACGCCTCACTTGGTTGCCTCAAGGTGGTCGTCAAGTATAGGGTGTTTTAGAGGTCGCCCTCCTGTCTAAAGATCCAGTTGCCTCGAAACGGTTGCCTCGGATAAAAAGGATCTAGGACATTAGGGTTACCGCTAAGGCGTCCTACTATTCCTTTGGTGACCACACATGTCCCTTATAATCAAATTGACCCGAATACCTCCAACGACGGTGCTACCTACTTCTCAATAGTGGGATAGTACTATCTAAAGGACTCTTACACAGCTTAATTCCTTAGAGTAGGTAGATTTCTCCTGGGTACTTGCTCTTTCAAAAAACAAAAACATCTTTTCGCACCTACACTTTCAAAAGTTTTCAAACAAACACTTCATACACTCTTGAGGACTGATACAAGAGTTACCTAGAAGTTTTCAAACGAAACTTTTTCAAAACCCACAAACACAAGAAAAGCAAACAATTTTTGAAAACATAGTGAGCAAGTACCTAAGAGCCCGTGGATAACCACAGATAGAAAGGGTGCTAACACATTCCCTTTCTATAAATCTACCTCCCGAACCGAGAAACATTCTCGAAAAGGAATTTTGCTGTGCTTTTGTCCTTTCCTTGTTGGAGAACATAAAAGACGGTGGCGACTCTTGCTTACCGCAACATTTCGCGAACCAGCTTTAAATCAGTCAGTTCTATTTCCACCGATCACAGAACTGGCGACTCTGCTGGGGATTCTAAATAAGTGAGGTGTATCTTAGGATTAGACCACTCTTATGTTTTCAATTGTATGCCTTGATTGCTTTTATATTTGTGGGCTTGCATCGGAGTTCACTACGCCAAAAACGAGTTTTGGCACCGCTACATAGACAGCGCTTATGCAAAAGCGTTGCTGTAGGTATCCAAAAAAAAAATACTTTAGACAGCGCTTATTAAAAGCGCTGTTATAGGCCTTATCAAAGGCAACACTTTTTCTCCCTAAGCGCTGCTATAGGGTTTTAAAAAAAATAAAAATTAAAAAATTAATAAAAGCGCTGCTAAAGGGTATGCTTTAGACATCGCTTTCAAAAAGCGCTGCTAAAGGTGTAAGTCTAAAAGCGCTGCTAAAGGGGGGTAAACCTAAAGCGCTGCTAAAGGGGGGTACCTTTAGCAGCGCTTCTTGAAAGTGTTGCCTTTGTGTAAATCTAAAAGCGCTGCTAAAGGGGGGGTAAGCCTAAAGCGCTGCTAAAGGGGGGTACCTTTAGCAGCGCTTCTTGAAAGCGCTGCCTTTGGTTTGTTAATTTATTTCTAAACCCCTAACCCCTAAATCAGATTTCCAGAAACACAAAATTAAACCCATGTCGCTGTTCATCTTCTTCTCCATTCGTCTCCTCCCAAACTCCCCCTGTCTCACTCCATTACTCCCTTTGTTCCGTCATCTCTCAAACCCTCCTCTCAACCGCTTCATCTTCATCGTTACCAACCACCACCATCAATTGTCAACCGTCTCCATCCTTCATCCCTTCGTCGTCCTCTAACCATTACCCTCCCACGGTAGAACCTTGCGAAGACACCGTTCACATATCTCTCCTCGGCGCCACTATTCACTCTCTTGTCATTGCATTTTTACACCCTCAGCTTCTGTTTGTTTTCATCGTTGAAGGTAAGAGCTTCTTCATCTTCTCTGATTCAGTTTGTTTAGGTTATTCATGCTAATTCCATCTCTAATTTGCTTATACATGTTATGTTATGATATTGCAGGCTCATAATATGGATGGTTTCCGTGTAGTGACTTGTCAATCCTGTAACTTTGTTGGAGAACCTTTCGAATCAGATGGCTTCTTCTTCTGCAGTAGCTGCGGAGAGAAAAATCAGGATGCTTTTGATAATGGTGCCGAAGAGGAAGAAGCCTTCGGTACCGTCGGTGGTATCTACCTTCCCAGTCACCAACGCCGGGCATCTACTCATTCTGAAGCAATTGATGTTCCCCCCATCTCACAATATGATCCATTATCCCAATCCAATTTACTTTCCAGCCTTGGCTTAATTGAAGTCAAACAAGAGAATGTTGACCTATCTCACTCCCATTTTAGTCCCTCAACTCCTGTTGATTTTGGAGGCTCCAATGTTCCTAGCTCTGAGGATTACCACAATGAGATAAGGCTGCGTTATGTGTTTGGGTTGCAAATTATGATTGAGCTTCAATGTGAAGCTCTGGTGAAAGAGTTTAAGGTTACCCCTTTGATATGTGGCTTGGTTTGACCAATTTGGTTAAGATTTGTCGCCAAGACTGGTGTTTTCGACGAAGACTGGGCTAATAAAGTACTTCATGACTCTGAGATGCAGAAAGAAGGTAATGATATGAAGTTTAGTTTTTCCGTTTATATTTCTGAATTTACTTGTATCACTATTCGTTTTTATGTGAATAAATCATTTTCTCAATATAAGTTTCAACTTTTAATGCATATTCTTGATTTGGATTGATGGAACATGATTTCCCGATTATTTATTTTGTTTATTTGCTTGCAACATATGTAGGGATATGGTCTTGTTCATGTGAGGTTTTCATTGCATTGTTTCTATTGAATTTTCAAGAAATCTGATATTTAACTGAAAGTTTAACTCTCACTAGCATCTTTCATCTGATTAGGTGCATCTTACCTTGGCATTTATTAAGTAAGCTTGGATTTGTGCCCTTAGTTATTGAATTTAGGGTAAGAACAATAAGATGAGAGGAGGAACTTGATAATTTTTCATGTTAATCAAATGTCTAATGTAGTTTCTTTACGCACCCAGAAGATGTTTGATTTATTTTCAAGTGTATATTATAATTTGTTAAATTTCTTGCTTTCATGTTCTCAGGAGATCCAGAAGATTATAATTCACGCGGTAAATACAGATCAGAACCTCGCATCAATGGCACAATCACCAACACCATTTCTGTTTTTCCTAAGTGAGGATAGCTCTGCCAATGACATTGATGCAAACTCCGCAGGTATGTCTTCTTCGAGTTATTATCACAAACTGAATACTTTATATTTCTAAACAGGATTTAGTCTTAAATTTCTGTTGAATATATATTTGATGAAATTAATTCATGACCAGCACACTGTCACAAATGCTTCCTGCACAGAGGATATTGATTTCAATTTTAATATTAAATGTTTTTCTCTTCATATGATTTGCTGGTTATTGATTTTCAGTTGTCACATAATCTTCACCACTGTCACTTTTCTGAGGTTGTGAATTAAGTTGATTCTTTTAGCTCGATGTACTGTATGTTTGGGTTTCATCTTTGATTTGTCAAAAGCAATTCTAGAGGTGTAAATTGATTTTGACATGTTTGTTTTCTTTGGGCTGAGAGCGTACTCAGTTAAGAATGAGATATAATTGACCGAATTATTTCATTTTCCCCCTGGGAGAGTTGACACAGTAGCACTGTAATCCATGCCCACTATATTTGAGGAAGATGCAATGGTGCTACCATACTGAAGATGGCCTACAATGAATGCTCTTTGTTGCTTTTCTATTTGGCTGTGACTGTGAGAGGTTATATCAATTGTGATGCTATGAAATTTTGTATGCATGTTGCTAAATAACCTAGAAATAGAATTCTCGATGGACGAATTTGACCTGTTTAAGGGGTTACAACGTATCTGTTGCTACTTGCTAGAACCTACATACTTTGTAGGATTTAGTGTTATTTGTTTTCAACATAGAGAAGATAATTAATTTTTTTTAGTGAAAATATGGAAATTTCAACTCAGCAAGTACAATTTGAAAACCTATAATACTGGGAGAATGGAAGATGCCAAGGCTGGGTCAGATGGGTCATACATAGTAATTGTTTTTTTTCCTAATTGCAATTCCTTGAGATACAAACTGTTATTTGAAAGTGACAAGTTTAATTAACATTGCACTTATGATAGTCCATGTGAATGTCTCATTTTAGGATTGCTGATGCCGAGGAAAACTTAGGCGAGAGTGAAGTCCGTGAGGCTCACTTGGCAAAGTCCTTGTTTTTCATCCGGATTGGGGACAAGGTATGCATTGCTATTATAATTTATTGCTCATTTCCTTTATGCTGTTGGAATCAAGTCATCACTCTAGCCTATGTATTAGGAGAAAGCCCTGGAACATCTCAAGATAACAGAAACCAAGATTGTTGCAGTGGGCCAGAAGATGGACTTGGTGTTTTATACGCTGCAACTTGGTTTCTTTGACATGGATTTTGATCTAATTTCCAAAAGCATTGACAAAGCTAAAAGGTAATTATTTAAGTTTCATATATATGTAGTTATATCCTTTGCTATGTTTTTGTTTTAAGAATTGGCTTTCTAACTGTTTGCAACATTATGACAGCTTGTTTGAAGAAGGTGGAGATTGGGAGAGGAAGAACAGACTGAAAGTGTATGAAGGCCTATACTGCATGTCCACTAGAAATTTCGAGAAGGCTGCAACATTGTTTTTGGATTCTATCTCCACCTTTACAACCTATGAACTTTTTCCATATGACACCTTTATATTTTACACCGTTTTGACAAGCATCATAACACTGGATAGAGTTTCCTTGAAGCAAAAGGTACATCAATTTTTTCATGTCGCCTTTACACTGTTTATCCTTTTCTTGTAACTGCTGCTCATTGTTTATTGGGCCGCGTTATGCTTCAACTTAAGCTAATTTGCATCAGGTAGTGGATGCTCCTGAGATCTTGACAGTGATTGGCAAGATCCCGCATCTGTCAGAGTTTTTGAACTCCCTGTATGATTGTCAATACAAGTCTTTCTTCTCAGCATTTGGTGAGTAGACACTGTAAAACTCAGTTTTTCAGTGATTTCACACAAAACATTTTGTGTATAGTTAATTTTTGGTTGTTATAATTTGGGAACAAGTACTCACAAATAGTTCATTTCAATCTTTGTAGTGCCATGTTCACAGTTTTGTTTCATTTTGTAATTCTTATCAGCTGGCTTGACGGAGCAAATTAAGTTGGATCGCTATTTGCATTCACACTTCAGGTATTACATGAGAGAGATCAGAACTGTGATTTAACAAATGATAGAGCTTGAATCAATATTTCCGTCTGTCTTTTGCATCTTGATGAAATGTCAAAATTTTACTTGCCGTCAATGTTGATCTATGACTTTGTTATTACTATAGAGACATGCTCGATCTGAAAAGCTACACAGGGAAGGCAGACTGAAGGTCATGCTCAATAGCGATGGTGAAATAGAGAACCAAGAGGATTCAGACAAAGAAACCGAAGATACCGAGGTTGGTTCTTCAACAGTTTGACTGCATTTGCAACTCGGTTAAATGAAAATATTAGACCTATCAGATTGAAGAAACCAATTTATTAATACAGCCATGTTTGTGTATGGAATTGAGACTTGACCATTGTTTGCTGATTTTGTTGTACAGGAGCTACTAAAGCCACTTAAAAATGTGGTCCCTTGGTTACAAGAAATATTCACATGGGAAAGACCAATACATACTCTTGTTGTTCTTGCTGCATCCCTAATAATCACTTATATGTAAGTTCTTATTTTATACACTATATTATGTATCTATCAAATGGTGTTGTTACATTGTTTATGATTGAGTTTTGCAATGCAGGGAATGGGTTGGAAAGAGAGCTGCAGCATTCTTGGTATGGGTGATAGTAAAGATGCTTGAGGCAAGAGAGAAAAAGCTTAATGAGCAATGCAATGAGATAGTAGTCAGTAGATATGATATGGCTTCTGATCAATCTATGATGGATAACATTGTCTCAGCCCAACATGGATTTTACATTGTTCATGAGATGATGCAGATAGCAAACATAGAAATGTTAAAGATATGATCCATACTTATTTCAAAGGCAGACAAGGTAGAATCTCTTGGTGAAAATTGAAACACTTTTATGTAATGTCCATAGCAAAACATAGCAACTCTTTTTGATAAACACAATTTGTTGTTTGTATGGCAGCATGCAAAGACAGTGATGGTGGCAATAGGGGGATTAGCATTCTTATTAGCAGTAATACCATTCAAGTTCTTACTAATGGGTCTCATTGTGCAAAGTTTCACCATGGCGTTCAAGACAAGCAAGTCTTCAGGAACTGGGAATAGAAGGTTGAAGGAATGGTGGGACTCAATACTAGTAGTCCCTATCCGTGTAGTAGACAATGTTCCTAACTCTCAACATGCTAAATAGTTCTTTTTGTGTATCCCCTCAAAAAGAATGTTGCTTGTGTGTGTATAAAGGGAAGGGAAGTGATAGTGTACATGACAACAGAAGACTTTAAAGATGGGTGTGTAAAGTTGTTTTATTGCATTTCTTGCTTCAACTGTTTCAATAAGAAATTTCTTGGTTGTACAAGAATTCTTTTTGTTTTGTCCAGCAAAAGGGTTGCAGAAATAAAAATACGCATATAAGAAATATGTAAGTATAGACATAGATAATATAGAAAGTGTTATTTTAAAGTTTGTCTTCTTGATATTAGTAAAGAAAAAACTAATACTAATATAGTAAAATACGCATGTATAATGTATTCATGTACTTTTCATGAAAGCGCTGTCTAAAGTGATTGAAAAAAATTTTTTTTTAAAAAATGAGGAAAAGCGCTGCTAAAGGGGGGGGGGGGGGTAATAGACAACGCTTTTCATGAAAGCGCTGTCTAAAGTGATTAAAAAAAATTTAAAAAAAATGAGGAAAAGCGCTGCTAAAGGGGGGTAATAGACAGCGCTTTTCATGAAAGCGCTGTCTAAAGTGATTGAAAAAAAAATTTTTTTTTTTAAAATGAGGAAAAGCGCTGCTAAAGGGGGGGTAATAGACAGCGCTTTTACCAAGCGCTGTCTAAAGTGATTGAAAAAAAAGCGCTGTCTATACCTTTAGCAGCGCTGTTAAAGGCCTAAAAAAGCGTTGTCTAATCCCTTGTTTGGCATAGTGGTTTCATAGATCCTAACCCGGATCTGGGGAATACCCTTTAGGTAGCAATAAGCTGTGAGGGACCTGTCCGACGTAGACCGACACGGGTGAAGCAGTAGCTACGTTGGTGTGACACCTTGGTCTGTACCGATATCCCTTGTGTTGGAACGAGGAGAATATGGGTCTTCTGAGGAGTCATTAAGCACCAACCGACCTTAGAACCCTAATTTAACCCAACTTGGCCATAGAACAGTAGCAATATGCTACACTCATTGAGGCTAAACTCTCGCGATGGTTCCGGCCGTAAGAAAAGATTGCGAAGATGGAGTTATGACTGATTGAGGGTAGTCGATGATATTGAGATCCTCTAGAACCCGGTTACTATTTTCTAGGACAGGTCTTAACCAATGAAACTGAAAGAGGGTAGTACCTAAACTTCATGCTGGCCTGAACTCTAAGGGCTGTCTTGTATGACTTGTGTGCCTTCAAACTTGAACTACTTGCACATTCTTGTTATCTGACAATATGAGTTCCTTGCAGGTTTTGTTTACAGTCCTTAATCTGGACTTATTACAGGGCTTACTTATACCTCACACCTTTGCATCCACGTACATAACATTATACGCATCATAACATCATACTATATCATTTCCTTAACCATTTCAAGGATCTCAAGGGTTTGTGATGCAGGTCAGGATGAGCCAAATGTCTAGCAAGGGGCAAAGAGGATTTATTTTCCTTTAGCCAAGGTTGTTAAGAAATCCAAACATGATGACTTGAGTCAGGGGCTATGACCCACTGGATATGGTGAGCTTTGACTCTTGAAGAAGGACTCTCAACAACATGAAGTTCCTTCAATCAAGTTACCAGATTCTAACAATTTTCTTGTTTACCCCGCGAGATCCTTGAAAACATTGCATGCATATCATACATATCATTGCATAACAGGTACCCTTGTTACAGGTCTCTTACCTTCTTCGCTGTTTATTTCAGCAATGGCTTCCCAACAAGACAATCAGGAGCTTCGTACTCAAGAGACTCAGTTCAGGGAAATCTTCCTAAACCTATCCAAGGGGCAGGAAGAATTGAGAACGCTCCTCATGGGGAACTTGGTCAAGAACATTCCAGAGGACAGTAAGGATGAACGGCTGAAACATCTGCAAGCTGAGATAGATGCAATGAGGACTCAGATGCTGGGGCAGATGGCCCTTATCCAAGGCTTAGCTCGGGAGCAAGAAGAGTTGAGAATTGTGATCAACCAGCTTCAGCAAGACAGTATGAAGCAAGTAGTCAAGGCTGGGGACCAAACCGGTAATCAGCCCCCAAGAAGTCAAAGGTTTGGTTCAATGAATAGACCTCTCCAAGCTGCTACTACTTCACATGTCCAACAACGACCTCGCCAAGAACAACGGGTTGATCAGAGCAAGCCAGACAAGCCCAGGAGGCAATTCACCCAGCTCAATGTATCACCGTCTCAAGCTTTACAACGCCTGTTGAGATTGAATCTGGTAATGCTAAGGGACCCTCCTAAGAATCCCAACACTTCCTCTTCCAGGTATAACCCGAGTTTGAGATGTGCCTACCATTCTGACAGTCTTGGACACGACACCGACGACTGTTGGACTCTGAAGAACAAGATCCAGGACTTGATTGATGAAGGAGCAGTGGAGTTCACCCAAGGTGGTCAGGCTGAGTTTTTCTACCACCCTTCCAAGGCTCACCATTTGAAGTGACAAGTCCTGAGACTAGAAGATTTTTTGTTCATTGGAATTTTCAAGTTGTATTTTTCTTTGCTTATACAAACAATTATTGTCATAGCAAACTTCATTACTTTCATTAATGCATCGTGTTGTACCCCAAAATTTGCCCTCCCATATTTCTCAAAAAAAACATTTCAAGAAAAATTCACAAGTCCAACCTGGCGCGTCATATTCAGGTATTCTTTCGCCAAGATATCTCTGATAACGTATTCTCAAATTCAGGTTCGGCTCAAGAGTCAATTCTTTAAAGAAGGTATCCGAATGTGTGAGTTTCCTTGAAGAAATATAGTGAAAAAGTGTGCTGAAAGTGCAGTTTTTACGCGCTAAAAAATTCATAACTTGAAGATCGTGACTCGTTTTGAACCCGTTCCGGTGGCCAAAATTTCGTCTTGACATTATCTACGTTTTCATATCTCACGGCTGGAAGCCAATTTCGATCAGAAGATCTTCAAAAATGTGGATTTATCAAGTATTTTCGTGCAGAAATTTGTGACAGAAGTTTATTTGCGTCATGTTCAAAAAATCATAACTTGGTCGATTTTCATCATATCGAGCTGGTTCCGGTGCCAAAATTTCACAAATTGAGTTGGCTACATTTTCACAGAAGGTATTGAGTTCAAACGGTATTCAAAAGGCTTTTGTTTTTTGCTCAGAGTACGTGATACGCTGAAAATCCTGAATGCTGAATATTATTTCATCTGGGCCGAAACTTCGAAAATTCATAACTCGGTCAATTTTTATCGGATTGGGCTCATATTTTTACACAAGGTCCCTGACTCGTAGATCTACAACTTTGCTTCAAAAGTCGAGACCGGATTATGCACCGATCAATACCAGTTTTTTATTGAAGAACGTGTCAGAGTCGACACTGGAGCCCAAAATAAGTTTGTCTGAGCTGAAACTTCAAAAATTCATAACTAATTCACCGTTTATCCGATTGAGTCGATTTTCGGACAGGAGTTAGTTCTCGATGTCGGCTACATTTTGTTTTCACATTTCAACTTCAAAAAATGCACTTAAGTCCCTGCGATTTAGTCTGGAAAGTGACGAATTCAAGTGAATATTGGAGGCCCAATTGCACATTCAAAGCCCATTTTCTTTACCCTAATTTCCACTATATAATCACCTTCTTGTCACACAAACCAAAGGGGAGAAAAAAAGAAAAAAGAGGGAAGAGAAAAAAGAGAGAAAAACTTTGCCACAACACTGTTGGAATATCAAACTCTTTCAAGAACCCTAAAACCTTGAAATCCTTATTACAAATCTCTCTCTCACTACAAACAAAGCCATCACAGTTACAAACCAACACCTCACTACTTCTTCAGTAAGGATAAGGCTGGTCTGATCTCCATGATCCTAATTTTCCAGTAAGGCATAAAAGCATTCAGGTCACTAATCTTCCAGTAAGGGTAAGATTGATTTGATCTCCATGATCAAAAGGGTATAATCATTCATACATGCCATATTGTGCATAAACATTAAATTTCTTCATATGTTGGTTTTATTTGAATTTTTATGATTTTATTTAATGTGTTCATGAGGTTCAACACTGCAGATTTAGACAGGATCCCATGCAGGTTCATTAAGGAACGTTGAGGCCAAAAGCCAAATGGCCAAAAGGCCAAAAGCCAAATGGCCAAAGTAGAACATTTTATGCATGACACCAATACATGGCGAGGCAGACATTAAGCCAGACATTAAGGGAACGTTGAAGCCAGAACATAAATGGGCAAAAGCCAAAAGCCAAAAGCCAAAAGCCAAAAGCCAAATGGCCAAAGTAGAACAACTTATGTATGAAACTCAATCCAATGGCCAAAGAATGCAGACCACGGTACTCAGGAGTCAATACTTCAAAAAACCTCCCCTTGGGCCAGACACCCCCTATGGTTTGCTCAATTTTTAATTTTTATTTGTTTTTCCTTTTTATTCTTTTAATTGTTTTTTAATTGTTTTCTTTTAATTCCATAAAATAATTTTCATAATAAATATAAAATACAGAAAAATCAAAAAAAATGTTTATTTTATTAATATTAATTTTACTATTATTATTTTGTAAATAAACTTTAAACAATTAATTAGATTAATTTAGGTTTCAAAACTATAATATTTTTCTTAATAAATTAAATATGTAGAAATTAGGTTTTTTTAACTTTTTCATCATTTTTTTTAATAAATAATTTTCTCATCATTATTATTATTATTAATTACTAATTTATTTTGTAAATAAACATGTACATAAATTCTTTAGTAAATTAAGTTAAACTTTAACATTTTTCTCAAATAATTAAAAATAACTTAGAATTAGGGTTTCTTTTAATTTTAATTTTAATTTTCTTATTTCATAAATGCAAAAAAACCTAAAAAACACTTCTTTTATTTCAATAAATAATTAATTAATTTTTAATTTCAATTTAACTTCAAAAGGGTCCAACGCACTCGTTTCCAATCTTATTTCAATTCGCGCGTTTTATTTCGTTTCTTTTAAATATTTATGTAATTCTCCCAAAGCCATGTAACTCGGACATT